GCAACATATTCACAGCCTGGTACAACAACAGGTTTGGTCTCTGTGGACAGGAAGTCCTTTAATTTTAGCATTTTATAATTCTTTATTTATTTAAAAAGGACAGTGAAGCTTAACATAGTCCAAATATAAAATATCAAATGATGTACTGCACATAGGTTTATAGCTATTGCACACTTCCAGCCATTGCCCCGTGTTGGGCTTACATTCACAATACACAAAGTTACACCATTCACTTTTTTTAATCACCTGTTTGGATGTAATCGGGGTGTTATGTTGGGAGTGGGGCTAATTTGATTGACAGGTGTGCATGCGATGCTTTCTAGAGAACTTTTAATGGAATTATCTCACTAGTGTTACAGAATCCAGAGCATTTGTGCTTTCTATTGTTAGCAAATAAGTGTATAAGTGTTGGTATATTTAAATATAGTAAATGTGATAAATCTAGCTTTAAAAACCTCCAACATGCATCAAAATATAGAGAAACCAATGGGCTATGTCAAGGTAGAGGATAGCTGGACTAGTTTGCATTTCTTTCCTAGTCTAATTGACCACAAGGGCACATTCATAAAGCATCTGATGCTACAGACATTGGTGGATCAACTGAGTGAAATTTGGGGTTTAGTATTTAGTTGAGCAAAGGTATTTTGAATGTTATCATTTGTTTTTGAGATTTATATTTAGCCTTATTAGATTGCAAGAGGGGAATATAGTGAGAGAGTGGAGAGGGTTTGAAATAAATGGTCTGAGGCAGAATCCGAGAACGCAGTCTGTGGTTAGGGCATAGCAATCAGTCAATAGTCACTCTCTTTTCTCTCCATTTTTGTCTCCACCAAGCCCTGACACCCGTTTATTGTTTGATAATGAGGTAATGAGAAAATTCAGTTCACAGAGTGTTTTAGGAGCATTTCTCTGAAAACAGATGTCATGCTCCAGTCAAAAATAAACAGTGACAGTAGACACACACACACACGCACGCACGCACGCACGCACGCACGCACGCACGCACGCACGCACGCACACACGCACGCACGCACACAGTAACCACAGTGCACACTCCTGTAACAACACAAAGGCTTTCCATTAGTAATAACCTTTCTGCAAAGTAGCGAGGCCAGCTGCTGGGTTCTCCATCCTGCTTGATTACTCTCTGAACAAACCTGTCCAATCAGTCCTATTCATGGGTGCCAACACTCACATGCCAACTCTGACCTGACTGACCTCCGCAGAGGGCCAGCCCCTTCAGACTTGACCTTAGGTGTAGATGCTTATTGTCGGAGCTGCTGTCCCCAGCGCTCTTACAAAGGCTCGGATGCCAGAAATTAGGCACTTGAGGGAAACTCGAGAACTCCTGGCTAAAACTCCTGCTTGCAGAAAAAAGGCAATTGTAAAAATCAAGTGCTGTAATTGAGGGTAAATTTTTGGAGTCGAGAGGAGTGTTGGTAAATGCGTTTGTGTTTTTTATGCATCGTCTATGAAGTGAGGCAAAGAAGAGGGTTGGCAGACAGACAGATTCAGCGTTCAAATATTGCTAATTGCTAACAGTTAAGAATAACACTTAACATTTTCAACCAGGCTGATGTCTGTCTGTGTTTATTTTTCAGTTCAGACTGAAAACGCTTTACACTGGGTGTATAGAATTTAAAATGCAAATGGACGCAACAACAACTTCAACATGTTAACAAACAGTCAAATGACATGATCAGAGGAATGCCAAAATGCTTACCAGACACCAGCTTTATGTGCACCTCCAACTTAACTGTATATAAAAGATGGATGTAACCACTAGGGCATCACCCATTAACCCTTTGGGTCTAATGGGAGGCAGCTAGCAGGTAGCTACAGCTCCCTGCGCCTGCACACCCATCAGTCTAGGTGCCACACTTCATAACTTCAAGCTTTAATGGTATCCAAATGCAGTGGTTGTACACACAGCTGTTAGGCAGCTTTAAGTGGCCATTGAAGAAACAGAAATGAGTTGTGTGATCAATGAGATGCTAGGACAACAATGAACAGCTCATTTCAGGTCAAGTTCAATCTACACGATGGGAAATAGAGCTATTTATGGCTGTTATTTCAAGTGCTGTTTTGTAATTAGCTTCTGCAGAATTAATATAAACTTTTAGGTAGTTTTGAATGTTTAACTTCTGATATATATAGATTTCCCAGTGTTGGGAAGGTTACTTTTAAAATATATTCCATTACAGATTACAGTAGTAATCTGTAGTGAAATACTACAGATTACTACATGCCCCAAAATGTATTTTGTAACGTATTCCGTTACGTTACTCCATGACAGTAACGTATTCTCAATACTTTGGATTACCTATTATATTATCATGCTTTTTTACAACTACATGAATGTACTATTACTTTGTGATTTATTACTATTACTGAAGGTTACTCGCCATACCAATACCAACTAGATTTTTAAATCTTAATATAAAATGAGTAACAGTAGGGTGGACATTAGGTAAGGCTGCACTTTTTGCACCGATCTTGTATAGAAAACTGTTTCACGCATATATAAAACAGGTCCGCGGCTCCGAACCGTAGTAAAG